CCAAAACCCCAAAACCCCAAAACCCCAAAACCCCAAAACCCCTTCTAAAATATAAATTATTGAAGTTGTTTTAGAAATACAAAGAATAAAACTACTCAAGGCTGAGAACCCTACAGAGTTTGATACAATTAAGTCTAGAGAAAAGACTCATAACCTCAAAGCTTTGAAATTATTTAAGAAGAACAACAGTCAAGGTTTGAAGCTGATTAGTCCTGCAAAGATCAAGCTCAAGACTTCTTCTACTCAGAGTTCAACCGTAAAGAACAAGAAGGGGGTGGCTACTGAGAGAAACAACCCTTGTCAGAACCTAGAATGCCAGTCCACTGTTGATAATGAAGAAACTTCTCGTGACAACCCATGTGAGAGTTGAAGCATGAACGAAGAATTCATACTTCTATTGCAAAAAGAAATCAAGAGGCTTCAGAATATTACCAATGACCTGTCTTATCAGTTGATTATGAATGGGCAGAAGCCTCAGATTAAGGAAAGTGAGAGAGCTCCTATTGATCTGAGTATTAATCCATTTCGGAGAAGGGAGCATAGATCCAAACTGAGTGGCAGCAGAACCATCCCTTCCAAAATTCTAGATAGAGCGAAGACCGGTTCTTCATGAGAAAATGTCTCTAACTCGTCAACACAAGCTGATGTTGCTAGACCGAACAGTGGCTTTAGGATCAGGGATCAGAATGGAATATCTAAATACAGCACTGTTGATCTCAGTAAAGAAGAAGCTCCTGCTATTGCTGTTGATAAAGGTCCAAATAAAGTAGAAAAGTATAAACAAGAAATTGACTTTGTGAAAAAGATTGGGAAAGAATCAGTAAAAGCAATTGGGAAGCCCCAGTTCAAAGAAAAGCCGCTGATTAAAAAGCTGTCGATTGGCAAGAAGAGTAAAAATAAGAACAATCTGATGTTACCTCCTCTAGAACAGCAAGAGGGTGACGGCTAGACTAAATTCGGATTTCTAATTCTCCAAATAAGAAGAGAAATAAAATAATCTCTGATTTATACTTGAACTCTAAGAATACTCAGGTTTAGGGACAATATTCGAGAATAGAAGAATCTTTTGTAAATTTTAAAGGCATGTTCTTTATTATCATTTATTGCTTCATCTTAAGTCCAGCTGATGGAATGAAGTCAGTCAAAATTTGCTTCAATTCTTCATCAACCTCTGGCAGCAATTCCTTATGTTTAGCAATAGAGTCCAAAACATTTGTGTGCTTAGCATTCAAGTTCTCAAGGAAAAGAGTCTCGAACTTAGCAATTTCAGATGTCTCGAGTTTATCCAAGAATCCTCTAACTCCAGCATAGAGTAAACATACTTGTTCTTGGGCTTTCATTGGAACATATTGCTTTTGCTTGAGTAATTCAGTAAGTTTCTCACCTCTGTTCAACAAATTCTGGGTAGTAGCATCAAGGTCTGATCCAAACTGAGCGAAGGCAGCAACCTCTCTGTACTGAGCCAATTCCAACTTGAGGGATCCAGCAACTTGCTTCATTGCCTTAATCTGAGCGGCAGATCCTACTCTGGATACTGAGAGACCGACATTAATGGCTGGTCTGATACCCTTGAAGAACAATTCGGATTCCAAGTAGATCTGTCCGTCAGTAATGGAGATAACGTTTGTTGGAATATAGGCAGATACATCACCAGCTTGGGTCTCAATGATTGGCAAAGCAGTCAATGAGCCACCACCATGACCTTCATGAAGCTTAGCTGCTCTTTCCAAAAGACGAGAGTGCAAGTAGAAGACATCTCCTGGGTAGGCCTCTCTGCCTGGTGGTCTTCTCAACAACAATGAGATCTGTCTATGGGCTACAGCTTGCTTTGAGAGATCGTCATAGATGATCAAACAATGTCTTCCAGTGTCTCTGAAGTATTCTCCAAGAGCACATCCTGAGTATGGTGCCAAGAATTGGAGTGGAGCAGCCTCAGATGCAGTAGCAGCCAATACAATGGAATATTTCATGGCATCATTGTCTTTGAGAACTTTTACAATATTGGCAACAGTCGATCTCTTTTGACCAATAGCAACATAGATGCAGTAGAGTCTCTGGTTTGGGTCTATACCCTCCGCAAATCCAGATTTTTGGTTCAAGATAGTATCAATTGCTACAGCAGTTTTTCCAGTCTGTCTATCCCCAATAATCAACTCTCTCTGTCCTCTCCCAATTGGGACCAATGAATCGACTGACTTGAGTCCGGTCTGCATTGGCTCATGCACAGATTTTCTCACAATAATTCCTGGAGCTTTAGCTTCGACAGACTTAATTTCAGTTGTGTGAATTGGATCACCTCCATCAATTGCCTCACCCAAAGTGTTAATGACTCTACCCAGCATGCCTTCTCCGATAGGGATATTGGTGACTTCTCCAGTCCTCTTAACAGAGTCACCTTCATAAATATCTCTGTCATTATTGCCCAAGACGACAATACCGACATTGTCAGTCTCAAGATTGAGGGCCATTCCTTTGACTCCTGAGGAGAATTCAACCATTTCTCCTGCTTGAACCTTAGTAAGTCCAAAGACTCTGGCAATACCATCTCCGAAGGAAATTACTTTACCGAATTCCTTAATATCGTTCTATAGATATTACTAAGGAACGGAGCTTACCACTTGTGAAATTCCTGAAATCTTCTGCTCCAAAATATCAGCTGCATCTCCAATGCCAAGCTTCTGGCTGGCAGCTGGAGTGGATCTGAAGTTCATGGCGGAGACTCTGGTCAGAGTCTTCAAGTTTTTGCCCTTAGATAGAGACTGTCTGAAAAATTTACCAAACATATTTAATTTTATAATATATTATTTATAATTATATATCAATAATATAGACCCTGAATGGGGTTTTGGGGTTTTGGGGTTTTGGGGTTTTGGGGTTTTGGGG